AATCTAATTACCATAAGACAGTTTTAAGAACTTTTACCAAAAAAAATTTACACACACATTTGTGTGTGTGTGTGTTTTCACATGGATAATTCTACACTGGTAAATGTAAGTTGAGTCATTTTCATGTACAGTGTGCCCTTGTTATCCGCTGAGTTTTGGTTCCAGAACTCCCCACGGATACCAAAATATGTGGATGCTTGTCAAAGTCAAGGCTTGCTTTGGGGGATTTTTTAAAAATGTTTTTGAGACATGGATGGGAGAATCTATGGATACTGAGGGCTGAATGTAATTGACCCATTCAACTAAATCAAGGTCTTGAACGGACTTAGCTATGTGTGAAAATGTCTCTGTGATTTCCCAAAAGAATAGCAGGGTTTCAAACAAAATCGTAAGGCAAAGAGAATACGAGAGTCTGCAAATTAAGATGTTGGACCAGATCTGGGGACTAGGATATTCAAATCTCAGGGCCTGACCCTGGGTTTCATGTTTTCTTAGGGTCAGCTTCAGGCAAGCAGTGAAGGCTATGTGAAAATCTCCAGCCATGGGAGCTTCCTGTCATTCCTTCCTTCCTTCCTTCCTTCCTTCCTTCCTTCCTTCCTTCCTTCCTTCCTTCCTTCCTTCCTTCCTTCCTTCCTTCCTTCCTTCTTTCTCCTCCCTATCTTTTTCCTTCTTTTCTTCTTTCCTTCCTCTGTTTTTTAAAGTTCTGTGCTCCTTTAGCTGGCCATGAATCTTACTGTAATTTACAAATTTTAATTGATTCCAGTTTTCAAATGTCAATCTTGATTTGATGCATTTTGTATGTTATTTTTCTTTTACTATTCTAATAAATGTTCCTTATCTGTTTTCCACATGTATGCGAGAAAAATAATCTTCTCACTGCACCTTGACCTGGGAACAGCCCACTTAGATTGTTGTCTTAATTTCCAAACAGGAAAATATATGTTTGTGCACATTTAAATGTCAAGCTGTTAGCAACTGTAGTTGCGTAATGTTATTTTCAAGGCCTCCCTTCCTCTCAGGATTTTGCCTGGAAATCTCAGAAGCTGGAATAATCCTCACCCTGCGATCCTATGTGGAGGCTGCCAGATCCAAATTGCTACTTGAGTTCTAAAACTCAGAGGGTGATCTTTACCAATCTCTATGCCAGCTTAACATTATTCTCAAGGCTGTTGAATAAACAAAAAAGATGGCATTCGTGCTCTGTGGAGATGAAGTAGACCATAAATGTAATTCTTTAAAATAGAGAATATCTGCGCTGTTACTGAATGCCACAAAGGAGGAGCTTAGTTCTTCCTGGGGGTCTTCTCTCTCTCTCAGAAAAACTATACATGCAAATGCATTAGCCAATGAACTAAAGATATGTAGGAATAATTTGCAGTGAAATATATAGTGCCAGCAACATAGTCATTTCTAATTGGACCATTAAAGTCAATCAAGGACTCAATTACTGGTGCCACACTACATTCCTGGGCTTTGCACCATTCTTGGGGGCAAAACAGTGAATGACTGTAAATAAAAATACTCAGTATTTTCCAATGCTTTATATCAGTACTTCAAACACTAGTTCTGCTGTTATCCTTTCTGACCAAGAAGAAAGACCTCTGCCTTGCTTTCAAACCCATTTCAGCTTCTTTCGACTTCCTGGCTGCTTAGCACTCCAGGTTTCTGAACCCTGCAATTTAGAGGAGCTAAAATCACATACCAGCCACATGGAGTCCCGCAGCTCCCCCAAATTCCCTCTGTAAAGTCTAAGGGACATTTCCCCTATGGTCCACTCCTTTGGTTTTGTTTTTTTTTTAGTCCAGGGGAGGACTTTTGTATTTATGTAAAAAACCAAAATTTGCTTCTTGTTTACTCCCTTGTTCAAATATGGTCTCTCTTTAGCCCAGAACTGTGACAGAGTAGGGGAGTATTTTGAATAAACCTCCTCTAGAGATAAAAACCAGAATGTATGTACTGTCTAAAAAACAGCAGAATGTAGTCAATATTGCAAAACTTGCAACATTGAGAGAGAACAGACTAGTGTTGTGGCTCACTTTGAGCCTGGGCTTTCTGAGCCCGAGTTTCCTCAGGATGGGTTACAGATTTCTGAACCTGTTCCTGTTATTGAGGCAGACAGTGTTGATTCTGAAGAAGAGATGGTATTTCTGTTCCGCAGGGAAAGGAATGTTGTTTTAGATAAAGATAGTGAAACTTCACAGCTGCAGGTGGAAGAGTCAGCCCCATCTGGGAGTTCAGGGATTCTCGGTTCCCAGGGTGAACAGTCTCAGGATAATGAGGTATCCGGCCTTGAAGATGGAGATTTGATTAGAGAGGACCGTTTGCAATTAAGGGTTTGCTGAAGTGCGCGCCTTGCCAACAAACGTGATATTCAAGGTCAACGTAATGTTTTCATGTTGGGGAAACATATTTAACGATCTGATTGAAGTCTGTCCGTTGTCGGTGCAATGTTGCTTATACCCTGTTAACTTCTCTGAAATTACCTCGGCTTTTGGGGAAAGCTTCTAGCTCTTTGGGACTTTGGTTCTGCTCTTGATTTTTTGGGGACTTTGTCATGCTGCCATGGATTCTTGTTTAACCAATGCTAAAGGAGTATACTTCATGTTATTTGCCTCTGGATTTTGGGAACTTTGCCTATGCATTTAAGACTCTGTTTTGGCTATTGAACTTTTGCAACTTTACTTCTATGTTTTTGATTTTGCTTTTTCTTCAATAAACTGCAAAACCTACAGCCTTGGTGTGTGGTGGTGTCTTGAGCAAGGTGAATCTATCCTGAGTTGCAACAACTAGCTAGAACAGTGGTTCTCAACCTGTGGGTCCCCCGATGTTTTGGCTTTCAACTCCCAGAAATCCTAACAGCTGCTAAACTGCCTGGGATTTCTGGGAGTTGTAGGCCAAAACACTTGGGAACCCACAAGTTGAGAACCACTGAGCAAGAAGAAGCTGCAGTACTTTGCTTCATCCTAAGTCTACTGGAAAGGGCAAGATTCTGGTCCTGTCCCCATTCCCCCTTCACCCCTGTTAAGCGTGTGAAAACTACTAGTACACTTTGAACTCAGTTTGTAGTGACTGAAGTAAGCTAAGAACAAAAGGTGAAAGTAGGAGGTGGAGAGAAAGATTAGGACATTTCAAAAGCAGCTGGAAAAGCGATATTACAGAAAAATAATTGGAACTATCCTTGGCAAATTGGGATGAAAGGTATAAAATGTTAAAGTCCCTAAGAATGAGGAGAGAAGCATAGAAGGGTCCTCTGCAATTTTGTGAAGGGCATGTGCAACCCTCAGATTTCAAGGTATTTTGGTGGTGATAAAGCCAGCACAAATAAATGAATAAATTAATTTGTGAATTTGTCCCCTGAGTTCAGCCATTATCCCACAATCCACCATCATCTCTAAACATGTAAAGCAAAAGATCTGAGATTGCTTCTTCGTGAGTCTAACATATGAATAAGTCCATTACAAATTGTTGGAAAGCATGTTAAAACATCTTACCATGTGGCCACAAAATGGAGCAATCCAATATATTTTTTCCAATTTTTGTAATTTGTACATATGTCTTTTGCTGAGTGAAATAGCACATCAAGTTTCAAAAGGCTAATGTGCCTTTCCTCATGAGCTGATGATCTTAAAATCAAAATGTTTTCTTGTTTTCTGCAAACATTTCAGCTTATATTTTAGAATCAGAATTATGTGCAACTAACAACAAACATTTCATATAATATTTAGTACAGGCATCAAAGTCAATGTAAATGAAAAAAAAGATGCTTTGCTATAATGCCATCATTTTGGGATTATTTCAAGTCATAGAGATGTTAGAAAGGAGCCCTCAAACTTGGCTTAGTATGTTGTACTCAATGGATGTCTTGGTCTATTAACCCACACTTCTTCTTTTTCAGCATCCATCTCTTTCTCTTTGATCCACATTTTGGCAAGCAGCTGGCACCAGGTGCATTTTGAGAGTCAGGCCCAAATGAATAGTTTCATATTGCTCCAAGAGGTAAATTGCTACAACTATAAAGTCTGGCTGTAAAATAGCATAATGCCCACTTTCAAAAAGCCAAAATGAGAAATGCAAAAATCCATGTCCAGAATTCAAATGTTAAGCTAACAGTGTTTGTGCTGCTACAGCTGCAAAACAACAAAGCAGCAATGGTGAAAGATGCTGTAGTAACTGTTAACATTATGGGAAACATGTTTGAGGGGGTTTTAGAAAAGCTTTTTTCCCTATTTCTGGAATATGTCAATCACTGGCTATTGACCCGAAGAGTTAAGGAATTCAAACATGTTAGAAATCTATTTATCAGATATTGGGAAAGCTACCAACTTGGGTTTTTTTTTTTGTTTTTTCTTTTTCATGCCAGAGAAGAAACAATCAGGGCCAGCTAACACCTCCCAACAAAGGATTCCCCCAGATAGGAAGCAGCCAGGCTTTGAAGCTGCAAGGCTTTACAATCAAGCTGGCCAATTACAATATTCAAACTTACCTCAAACAGACAAGAGTTCTTTCTTCCATCCTGGACATTCCACAGATATATAAACCTCACTTGCCTAGTTTCCAACAGACCTCACAACCTCTTGGATGCCTGTCATAGATATGGGTGAAATGTCAGGAGAGAATGCTTCTGGAATATGGCCATACAGCCTGGAAAACTCACAGCAACCCAATGATTCTGGCCATGAAAATCTTCGACAACACATTTCATGAAATATTTGGGGATTCCCAGGAGGTAGAATGCACTTGATTATAACGATAATAATGCTATTCTTCTAAAATCCAACTAGACGTCAAAGAAAACCCCACTAGGAATGTACTTCATTCTACATTTCCAGCCTATCCCAGATCTAATTTGTTTCTTTTAAAAAATCCAGCACACTTAAAAATAGGTTAATTGCATTATGTGGCTATGTTGGAGTGGCACAAAGATTGAAGGGGATGAGAACTAGATGAATCCTCCTCTCACACCCCCCAATATGCTCATAATTAAAAACAGCAGACTTTACCTTGTTGTAATCTCTGAAGCGCCAAGGCCGGATTGCACTGAACACATGTAGCTCAGAGACCACCTGCCAAAAAAATGAACAAAGCAGCAGCTTGATGAACCAGGCAGGGAGAGCGGCTGTTTGGAGGTACCGCTTCACTGCAAGAGGCTGCAGTCTATTCCCAAAGCTTCCAAAGGATTTCTCCATTTTTAAAAAATGCTTATCATTACTTGTGTAACTGGTCCCACTTGAGTATAATTGTGCAAGTCTGTGAATCCTAATAATTCGAGTAAGGAAACTGCACCAGTGAATGTTAATGATCAGTCGGCTTTTAAAAAATCACTCTGTAGTTTAATATAAATTATCACCCATTTCACCTATTCTCAAAATTGTCTAGGGTTCAATCAAAGAAAGAATAGGAAGAATGCTCTCATTTGTCTTTAATTCAGTCTCTGCCCTTGAATGAGAAGTCTTGATGATAAAGGTGCATCTACACTGCAGAATTAATGCAATTTAACACTACTTTAATTGCCATGGTTAAATCAAGGGAGTTATAGGTTTACAAGGTATTTAGCTTCCTCTGCCAAATAGTTCTTCACTGAATTATAATTCCTAGGATTCCTTAACTTTGAGCCATGGCAATTAAAGAAGTGTCAAACTCCATGTGGAGTTACCTCTGAAGACTGTTCGGAAGCTCCAAGTAGTCCAACGGACAGCAATCAGATTGTGAACCAGAGTAGTGTACAGGGAATGCACAACCCCCCTGTTACATCAACTCCACTGGCTGCCAATTTGCTCCCAAGCACAATTCAAAGTGCTGGCCTTAGCCTATAAATTCCTAAACGGTTCAGGTCCAGCTTACCTGTCCAAACGTATCTCCCTTTATGATCTGGTGTGATTGTTAAGATCTTCAGGGAAGGCCATGTTCTCAGTCCCATCCCCATTGTAGGCGCGGTTGGCAGGGAAGAGAGACAGGGCCTTCTCGGTGGTGGCCCCACAGCTGTGGAACTCCCTCCCAAGTGACATCAGAACAGCCCCCTCACTCTTAAGCTTCAGGAAAAATCTTAAGACCTGTCTATTTAAGCAAGCCTTTAGGGATTAATATGACCCATAAATATGACAGAACCTGTATAAGAAAGGCGAAAGCAATTGGTTTAATGTTTATAAAGCTAAGTTGGTGCTAGACCTTTGATACCTTTGATTGATAGGTATATGTTCTTACAGTTCTATAATATTGTGTTTACTGCAATGGTTATTTTCTGAATCTGGCATTGAATCATTACCATAGTTTGTTAGCCGCCCTGAGTCCCCCTTCTGGGGTGAGAAGGGTGGGTATAAGTACAGTAAATACATAAATAAATCTAAAGACTGCTCTCATTTGCTGCAGAAGCTCCAACTATGCCAAGTTAACACTGAACTTTAATGTACAGCAAATATGCAATTCTTATTTTCAACTGGAAGATATTACAAATATCCTATCCATTTATATGGTATTTTACACACACATATTTGGGAATAAACAAATGGCAACATGTTTGCTTTACTGTTGGAGTCCATAAATCACTCTGATTAAGCAAATGTAACAATATTTATTATTGCACTCTGAATTAGAAAATGGAAATAATTACTTGCAAAAGGCAATAATTGTAGTAACACTTGTACAGCAGCTTTAACTCCTTAAAGGTATATTTCAAATGTCTGAACATTTACTAATTGTAAAGGAACAGAACCTTTGATTTTAAGTGCCCACAACATAAACAGGCAACAGCTTGAAAATTCATATAATGAACACAATTCCTTCCTTTCCTACACAGAGCTTGGGAAAGGCATTTTTTAAAATGATTTTGTTTCTGTTTCTTGTTAGGCTGTTTCAGAAGTTCTTCATTAATGTTGCTTCTTATTTCATTGTCAAAAAAATGCTAAAGTATTATTCATTACCTTTCCGAGACCAATAAACTTAGGAATTTGTAAGAGAATGGCATAAAAATGTTTCTCAAAATGCTTAGAAAAATGTTTAAATGCCCTTTAAAGCTATCTTTTCAGAGCAGCAGAAACACACTGTCCCTTACAGCAGTGAAATAATATAATTTCCCATTTACAACATTACTTTTGGGGAATGCCATTACACACATACATTGCTAAGAAGAGGAATTCATAAACGAACATATATAAATAAAAATGTAATGTTCGTTTATGGGATTAACATAAGTCAAAAACCACTGGATGAATTGACACAAAATTTGGACACAATACACCTTTCAGGTCAACAAGTTACCATCTATCATAAAACACTGAAAAACACAGAAGAGACTTTAAAGGCCAATAAAAGCAAAAAGACACTATAGCGCATGCGCAAAACGACTCCCCTGGCAAACAAATCACACAATAGCATATCCTCACTCTCTTCCGGACTACCGCTCCCAGCATCCCCTAGACCAGGCCCTTTAGGAGAGGAGAATGAGCTAAATGCCCTGCTTCCAGGATGCACGCTTTCTTCTCCTTGGATTTCTGTGAGAGTATCCCAATCCCTGCATATTTCCAATTTCCTATTCCTGGACTGCAACTCCCAGCAATCCTCCAGATAGATAAAATAGATAGTTTAGATAGATAGCGATAGGTAGGTAGATAGATTGATCAGGAGGACTGCTAAGAGTTGCAGTCCAAGAATAGGTAGAGAAGAAAGGGGAAGGGAAAGAAAAGGGGGGAAGGAAAGGAAAAGGAAGAGAAGGAAGGAAGGATGGGGAGAAGGAAAGAAAAAAGGGAAGAAAAGAAGGAAAGAGGGAAGGAAGGAAGGAGAGAAAGAAAGGAGGAGAAAAAGAGGGAGGGAAGGTTGGCCACAGCAAGTAGCACGGGTTCAGCTAGTTTTAATTAATTTCATTACTTGCACTCCTTCAGTAAACCTTCTGTTCCTGTGAATGAGATCCCCATTCAATCTTTCTTTCCCTTGGATCAGGCAGATGGACAGAACTCTTCCTACAGCTAAAAAACTTGATAACAAGTAATACGCTGAAGTTACTTTCAAGAAGCCAGTTCAGTGAAACATATTATTTTCCTACTTGAAATACAATAAACCTCAAAAATGAAGACAAGAATTCTGAAAGATATGTGGCAAAAATGCTTTAAGTGTGACTCTTTCCCCCTCACAGGCCGGTATATCTAATATCTTTGCTTGCTATGCTATTCTCTTGGTTCTCTCAGCATGTAAGCTTATCATTTCTCATAGCCACAGAGAGGATACTTGGAAAGTCAGAAATACAATCCTGCTGGACGTCAGCCCCACGCTGCTTGCTCTTGTTGTAATTATTGTTTCTCATGTCTCACTCTGCTGCAGAGCAGAAAATGGGGAGAAGATAAGAGAGGAAACCCATCAGGTGTTTATCATATAAGGCCCACTTCTTCCCATATCCTTGGCAATAGCCTTTAATGGCATGCTTAGATCACTGAATATCTTCCTGAGTGAATAGATATAAACATTAGTCAAGAGATCAAGGCTCCTATTCTATTCTATACACCTTCACCTGAGAGTAGACCCCTGATATTGAGAAATCGGACCTCCAAATTATGAAATGTATAAAAGTATATAAGATATGGGATATGGCTCCACCAGAGCATGTGTGGCCTTGTCTCATAGTAACCTTTGTTAGGAATTGCCTCTGGAATGCTGTCCAAACACACCCAGACCCCTTCCTTTAATTTCCATGATCTCCCCACAATGAACTGGGAGGCACAGGGGAAACACTCAATGCATTTGCATGAGAGTTCCTGGGTTTGTTTCCTGCTCCCCATTGATAGCATTGGGAAGATCCTTCACCTATGCCCCAAGCCAGCCTCAGCTGTTAAAATGATCATCATCCTCAAGCACCCATTGTGTACTTTGGACTAACCCCATTGTGTTCACTGGAGCCAAACCATTAAGCTCATCATGGACTAATATCCCAATGCAACACTGCATTCCTTTCCGATTGCGGCCTTCTCAGAAGCAGATCAATAAATGGACTGACAATTCATATGCTCCAATGACAATTTATTGAATTTCCTGCCACCATAAAGAGCCAACTAGTGGTGATGTTGGATGGAGTCCCGAGTCAGTCAGAGCATGGATCCTAGCTGGACAATTTTTGGACCAATCAGGAGCTGGTGTGGGTTTCTTCAATACTGACAAAATGAATAAATATGTTCTGTATTCCCTGTGACAGCATATCACTTCTTTGGAAGGCTATCTCTGCTGATATCCTCTCTGGCCATTAAGAACAAAACCTCTGATTTTGCTTTCAACCCATCTGTGTCTCATTCTGCCTTCTGGAAAGCTGGACACACCTGGCCTCTGAACCTGTAGTTCTTGCATATGCTGAATTCACTTAACACCCCAATGAATATAATGGGATTTACTTAGAGCTATGGAATCATAGAAATGACCAGAGCTTAGTTTGCAGAGCCTTTACCATTTTGTGGATCATCTGTTCCACTTTATCAGTTCCACTTTATCAGTAGCCTTCTTGTTAGTAACTATTAATGACATTAGGTTATTTTGTAACCTGACTCTACAACAGGCTCGGGAATGTTTGGTATGCATTTTACATTACCATGAGCAATGCCAGGTGGGGCTGATGGGAGTTATAGTTAAAACATCTGGAAGGCTACTGCCTGATGAAAGGGATTTTGAAACTAAAACTTCAACTGAAACCAAAACCCCTTCTATTGGATCTGATGAACAGATGGAGAAGAAAGATAGGGCATTCTGGAAGCTGCAGTCCAAAATGTTGCTTTCCCAGGTTCTGATCTGAACTCGGTTGGCAACTGTCAGCCAAAGGACACTTTCATCAGCTGTGCCAGGACTGTGGGATGACCTGCCAGAAGAGATTTGATAGCTATACAAACCATCTGAATTTAAAAGAGAATTAAAGGCATATCTCTCCCAGCAGGCCTACCCAGTCAATTTGAAATTATGAATTTAAACTGGCATTTTACTGATATAGAATATTTTAATATGTTTTAATCTTATGTCTATTTGTTTTAACATTAATGATTTAATGGTTTTATGTTTTTATCTATGTATTTTAACTATCTCCAGTCTTAAGGAGAGGTGGGTAAGAAATATAATTTATTACTATTATTGTTGTTTTT